TCACATGCCTTCTGGCTGTTCATGTACCTTCCTCTTTGAAGTGTCTATTCAGGTTTTTTTTTTTTTCCTATTTTAAATAGTGGGCTATGTGTCTTTTTATTGAGTTGTTTGTAGGAGTCCTTTGTATGTTCTGTGTATAAATCCGTCGTTACTTATGTTTTGGGTTAGTTTTTGCATGTCTGATTTTCTGGTCCATTTTCCCTATGATTTCTCTCATTCTAAGAGGAGGAAGGGGAGAGGGCCAGGAAGAGGAGGGAGCTGTGACTGTGGGCAGGGCAGGGCAGGCCACGAGAGTAGGAGGAGAGCAGAAAAGGAAGAAGAAGGAACATCTGTACTATCTTTGCATCTTTTGATGTGCCGGATTTTTTTTAAGCAATATTTTTTAGTTGTAGATGAACACATATCTTTATTTATTTATTTATTTATTTATTTATTTTTTATGTGGTGCTGAGGGTGGAACCCAGGGCCTCACACGTGCAAAGCAAGCGCTCTACCACTGAGCCCCAGCCCCAGCCCCTTTTTTTTGTACTAGGGATTGAACCCAGGGATGCTCTACCACTGAGCCTTATCCCCAGCTCTTTGTATTTTTTACTTTGAGACAGGGTCTTGCTAAGTTGCTAAGACTGTCCTGGAACTTATGATCCTCCTGCCTCAGCCTCATAGAGTAGCTGTTATTATAGGTGTGGCCACCACATTTGRCTGATATGCTGAAATTTTTAATGTCAAACCCAGTGTAAGGAATCATCTCCTTTTTATGGTTTTTGTTTCCTGTTCTCAGTCTTAGAAATCTTTAATTATCCCCAGGCTGGGACAATGCTATATTTTCTTCTAAAAATACAACTTTAACTTTTACAATTAGGTCCATGATCCATCTCAAATTAATTTTTGTGTATATTGTGAGGTACAGAGGTCAAGGATTATCTTTTCCCCAGTGGATATCTAGTTGTTCCAGCACCATTTGTTAAAGATGTTTCTAAAAGAGAAAAAAAAAAATCTTCCTTTTCCTCATAGGCTGCTTTGTCAGAAGCCAGTTGACTACAAAAGTGTGGGTCTGGGCTGTTTCTCCCTCTGAAGGTGGTCCACATTCTCCTTTGAATGTGTATACCTTGCTTTATCCTCAAARCTTTTTGTCTTGAGGTGGACCACATTGTCCCTTGAACGTGCCTCTGCTTTCCTAAATAAACCTCTGCCTGTGTCTCTGGCTGGTGCATGCTGAAATTCTTTTCCATCACGGATGTCACAAGCCCTACTGGAACTCAGTTGTTCCTTCCTCTCCAGGAGCTCCTCAGACTCTTCTTCAGAAACTTCTTCTCCTGTGACAGTCTTTCCACCTTATTCTGAACTAGTTGATATCTTTAAAAATAAAGTGTGTCATAAAAAAAAGTGTAGGTCTGTCTGGACTCTATTCTGTTTCATGGATCTCTTTGACTTTGACTATCCTTATTTCAACTCCCTACTG